CAAACACCATGTGGATTTTGCATAATAGGTGCCCTTTAAAGGGAAAAAGAGAATGTAATTCTAAACCGTCCTTTATGAAACACAAAGTAGAAATTTGGTAGAATTGTACTGGTCGCACTTTCCCATACATTTAGAATGAATGGAGGCTTTTTTGTGCTATGTCATGTCAGTCTTATGCACACCCCTTCAAATAAAGTGTTACCGAGGCTTTTTTGTGCTATGCAATGGGGAGGAAAAATGCAATATCTCAATATTAGTATTTTTTTTGTGAAGTTGAACTTGAGTTTAGTGTGTGTTTATGAAGAAACGCAATGTAAAAGTAGCACAGTTAAATGGAAAAACATGTGACTTTGAACTTTCTATCCATCAAAGAATCCTTAAAATTGTTTGGAAATGTTAAGATTTTCATAAAAATATAAAATATAAATTTTTATCAATGCATTCAACATTGATAATAATAGGAAATGTTTCTTGAGCACCAAATCAGCATATTAGAATTCTTTCTGAATGATCATGTGACACTGAAGACTGGAGTAATGCCTGCTAAAAATCTCCCTGTTTGCGTTCTACCTAGTATTTAAGCCCTGTGCTCTCCTCTGTTCCTTTGTCTGCTATTGTCTTTTGTGGATTATTTGCTGTTGGATTATTGTTGTTCCCTTTCCCTGTGGATTTATTTTAAAAGGAATTCTCCATCCTACTCTTTCGTCGTGCACGTTATATATTGTTGTGACAATCCTGTGACAGAATGCCAGACCCTCTAGATGAGTAGTTTATTGCGGCATTTTTCTTTTTTGTTTCGTTCCTCTCCCTCCCAGATGGATCGGCCAGACATCCAGCTCCTTTGCCTGGAGCAGCAGGACCGTTTGCTGGAGAACCACACCAGATACTTTTTAGATCTGGCGTGCCTTACTCACTTCCCTGACCACTCACTTTGCGTCTTTTACTATACCAGCCTGAGCGAGCAGTGTAAGGCATGCATGTCAGCGAGCGGTCCAAAGAAGTGGAGTGGGTTCTGGTGAATAGTGGATCACTATTCACTGTCTGCCCCACCGAGGAGGACTTCACCAGCCCCACTCCTGACCCCGAGCCCAACCAGCCTTCACTCCGCTACGTGGATAGTACACCAGAGCCCACCGCGAACAGAGAGCCTGCACCTGCCACGATCAACCTGCCTGCGCTAATGGATGCGACAGAGCCAAACATCGCCCCAGAGCCCAAGCTTGACGAAACGCTTAGGGTGAGCTGAAATATTAGACTGTTTAAATGAGGAGGATTCTCCCGTCCCTGCTGGTCCCACCCAGCTCTCCTTTGTCTCCTGAATCTCTGCTGGTCCTGAATCTCCACTGGTCCCGCCCAGCTCTCCTTCGTCTCCTGAATCTCTGCTGGTTCCGCCC